CTTGGAATGTATCCGTATGCAGTCATAATAATACCTCCATTCATCTGGAGTAAATTCTATTGTGACTTCAATGTACAACCCAGGGACAAGCCTCTCCTGGAAATACAAGCAACGTTATCAACAACTCTATTCGACAGCTGAATTTATACAGTAAAATTGTTCTTACATTTTTATTGTATTTGATATAAAAATATTTTGAAGTTGGTGGGATGATATGCATCTTTTGAGTTTCTGAAGAAGCATTGGCTATTTTCTGCAAAAATAATACAGTGAGCCGATTAGTAATAAGCTTATGTTTATTTAAAATATTTAAAAATCAAAGATGAAACAGAAATTTTTGTACATATTCATGTACATAATATTTGTATGCCTTTACAGTATACCATAAAGCGTTCTATAGACATTTAATAGTCTGATTTGTGGTACCATACAAATAACCTGAGATGTGATGATCAACAGTGTAACATAGATCAATCACTTGAAAAAGAGGGACGACATCACTAGTTTATTAATCTTACCACAACTTTAGTCTGTTTTTGACCAACTTTAAAACCAGCAAAATGGACCACAGAAGGTTTAATTTGCAGCAACTCATTCTGTGCAACTTTACTGTAGATTTCTGTGTCGAGAAGAGTAAAAATTTTMTTTAAGCTTACAACATGTCACTTTTGTTTCTAAACAAGAAAATTTGTCTCACAAACAACGCAAAAATGTTAAGTAYTTTTACATGAAAACAAAATAATTTCGCATAAAATAACATTAATAATATACTTACTTGTATCTAGTAAATGGTTTGGGACTGAGAGACTTTTAGTAGGGGCAACATATCCTTCAAAAGTCTCAATAAATCCTCGACTTTGAGCGACCGCCATTTTGGACGTCGTCTGAATGAGTCCACAATGGTTGGCATGGAAACCAGGCTATTCCCCAGGCCAGGCCTCGCTACACAGGGAACCCAAACTTACTACTGAGTTGATGTCGAATWTGTCTGAGTAGGTGGCTACTCCTGGTTTCTTGTTATTTTGTGATGGAAACGGATGGAAATTATCCCATGAGAGCCATGTGCCAATTTGAAGCGATTCTGTAGCATTAAATCCAAAAGCGATTTTTTTGTGGACGTTCTGGAGCGGCTTGTAGTTGCTTCTTTGAGACCTTTGTACCAGACTCAAACATTCACCAAGTTGTTCAAGTTGTCCAGATTGTACCCTATAACCTATAACATGAAATCTTTTATTACAACTGATTTTATAATAGGGGAATAGGCTTGAAGATGCCACAAATGGCTCAGGTTTGTTGCTAGATCGTCTTTGTAGATTCTGAAAGCYTTCCACCTTTCCAGTTATACAAATATCTCACTTTTCCTTTCAGATATACATTGCTGCATGGGGTGTATTGGTGRTTGGACTTTTTCTGTCTACGTTTGGGTTGTTCTGGAGCTTTATGTTCATAGTTTATGCAGTACTATTCGTGATAGGGTATACTTTCACTTATCATTGCCATTTTTCTTTCGCTTTGTTTTTGATACAATGAAAGAACAAAAGTATGGAGTACTGAACACCTTGCTCTGTTCTCCAGTTTTTTTGAACCTTGAAACATTCAGTCTAACCTGTATTTTTTGATTGTAGGTTTCTTTGTGTTCTTGGCTATTTTGGTTATGTTCAATCTCTAGAAAGAATAAACAAAATGGCATTGTCAAATCTAGAGCTGCCAGAACAAGGTWTGGATAMGATTCTSCAAGAAGTTTGGAAATCTACCAGAAAATCATACAAAATGGACAAACGGCTGACTGGCTCGAGTATCATTGATGAACCTTTGCAAGAGGTATTTTTTCCACAGGGAACCTGATTTATCAAGGGACTGTTCATTAATTATTGCCAAGAGAGGTTGCAGCATGTCAAAAATATCCCCCCCTTAAATAAGAAAAATTTTAAAAAAAATAGTCCCCATTTATGGTTCTTTCACAAAAATTGCACCCCATCCCAAATAATTGAAAATTGCTTTTGGCTCGGAAGCTCGCAATTGCCGAAATACTGGACTCAGTAAATTAAATAAAGTGATAAGTCAATAACTGGAAAAAAGTTGAAACGATTCACGACGTTTCGATCGATTACACCGATCTTCGTCAGGTAGAATGACCAGTTGAACCACCAACCAGGGTTTTATTGTGAGGCAAACGACGAGGAACGCCTTTCAGAAAAACATCCCATGAGTGTGGTAGGTTCAAACGTAGGCCACCCCTTCTGTTTAAGGTGGGATTTTCAATTTGTTCATAGATGGCTTCTTTAATCCCTCTCCTCCGCAAATCAGCTTCAGCAATCAGGGATTAAAGAAGCCATCTATGAACAAATTGAAAATCCCACCTTAAACAGAAGGGGCGGCCTACGTTTCAACCTACCACACTCATGGGATGTTGTTCTGAAAGGCGTTCCTCGCCGTTTGCCTCACAATAAAACCCTGGTTGGTAGTTCAACTGGTCATTCTACCTGACAAACATCGGTGTAATCGATCGAAACGTCGTGAATCATTTCATCTTTTTTCCAGTAATTGRCTTATCACTTTATTTAATTATTAACGACTGGATGACTAATCTACACTTAGATACTGGACTCAGTRTACGGCCAATTTATCAAAAACTTATACATAAATGGAAATGCAAGGCATTAGGAAAAATGACTACTACTGTACATTACTGTATGTTTTTTTTATCATTATTAGGTTCTTCAGTTTTTCTTTCGTGACTATGTGCATAGCTGGTATTGTACGATAAGCGGTGATGAAGARTTTCTATATGATCTTAGACACACACTTCAAAGGGCCTTGATTGCATTCTCCAATAGGTAATAAAAGCTCATTTTTATTTTTTGGGATTCCTGTTTCTTACCACAGGTAGCCAGAATACCCAAAACAGTTATAAAAGATGCCACATTTGCTTACAGTAATACAAATGAATGTCCTTTTTAATATGTTTATTTTGCTGCTACAGGTCTAAAGATGTTGAATGGGTGAATTTTTTGACAACTCGTTTTGTCGATGACATCACCAATCATTTGAAGATTTACAGACTTGCAAGGGAAAGATTAGATAAAATCACAAGTAATGAGGGTAAAGTTAACTTCCTGATGCCTCATTTGGAGTATGGAGAGATATAATTTAATGTAGGAGTGTATCGAATGGTCTATTGTACTGAGATGCAACTTTGGTGTTGGACATAATCACTTGACTTATACACTGTACTTAATTGTAAACTAACACTAGATATTGTGAAGCTTTGGATATGTTATAAGCCACTATGCTCTGGGGATATTGCTTTCTTTCAGCACTACAAATCTGTGTTTTTATCCAAATATGTCTTCAAAGATACATATGAACTGTGATCTATAGGATTTTATTTCTAAATACAGGTGATGACACATCTGAAACCATTGAGAAGATTTTCTTTCAAGTTGAGTCAGAAATGGAGGGAGGGATTTGTAGAGAAAACATTTGTCTCTTTGAGCAAAGTGAAAAGGGTAAGTATGAAATTCTTCGACCTATAGTCAATTTTAATTTTGTACTTACCATTTAGATATACCCAGACTTCTTAGCAAATTTAGATTTCACTAAGCCTCCGAGGCATCAATTTTCTAAGTTCTAAATATAACGGACCTTCTGTTGGATCAGTGAGAGAGTRGGACTAGTAGTAACAAAGTGAGGAGAGATGAAGGCATCTGCCAAAGTTGAATGTGTGTGGACAAGGACTTCATCTTCATCACACAATTCTTCTAAAGTATACTAACCCACTACCCAATAGATGTAAAGACCTTAGTTTTACCTTGATTTGCAGTTAGAACTGGGCTGCTATGTTATTCATGGTGATTATGTTGTCACCATGGAAACCCACATGTCTTCCCAGTACTGCATGATATTACTGCATGACCTAGAATGTTGTTTATCAAATTTACCTTCCCTCACCATGGAATGGGAGTTTTGGGTTGCAACATGTAGAAATGTTTCTTGGTTCCAGATAAACTCCCTCTTTGTTGTTCTTATTTTTTTWAAAAACTTCATTGTCAACCCTGTATTTCACTATAATAATGTATGTTCTACTAATAATTGTTCCTTTTGTTGTTTTTGTTTGGTGTACAGAATACCTTTGTGACATCAGTGAAATGCTGCTGTATTTGCTGCTTCCACAAGAGGACTTTCACAATAAACCATTCCGATACCTGTTTAGGGTATGACTTTTCTTCCTTTTGCTAGAGAAGAGAAAAAGGTTCCACTATTGTTATAGTGTGAGCATTGAGATGGATGTTATATGTGATGAAGAGTAATCTTTTTATATACCCCTTTCAAGAAGCAATTTGCACAAGTCAGGATAACTTTGATCATAAAATCATACTTTTTTGTAGGAAATGATTGCAACCTGTGTGCTTTTYCCTTCAGTCAAGACTGTTTGTGATCCTGATTATATCAATCAAACAATTGTTTGGCTTGTAAGTAACTGACAAAATGATTGAATAAATCTGTGCATTGACCATATGGAAAACGAGCAGAGGACTGGGAATGAGCACATTAAACGCTCCATATATTTAAACATCCCCCCTGTTTTCACCATATGAAGGAGTATATCTCAACTAATAAATTGGCAGAGTTTTAGTTTCAAATGTTGAATATCAGCAGAGTTACAAGCATTTAAAATGTGACAAAAACGTGAAAAACGAGGCTGGTCAGGTCTCCATACTCATTTTCACTCAAACCTTTGCAACTTAAAACACCTGTAATTTCTGGTCCTTAAATGTTAGATCATTGAAACTTTCAGATCTTATTCATTGTGATGTTTTCTTTCAACGGGTAGCAATGATACAATAAAGATCGTAATAAACTAAGGAGTTATGATAGCCACGCCCTTTTTCATATGGTCTATGGAAATAAGATTAAATAGTAATTATATGAGACCAATTGTAGTGAATTCAGTGAGATGGAAAGATAGAAAATTATCATATTTTTTTACATATTCAGTGCAAAGACTCCACATTCACAAGAGAAGCTTTCTTGACAGTTATTAGGTACAGTATATTACAGATCTTAAACAAAGTAGGTTGTAAAGTTATATACAATAAAATACTATTGCAGGATATGTCAAATGATAGATGTTCCGAAGATATTGTTAATCTTTCTAATTTGTTCTTGATAAACAGCGAGGGTTTGAATTCACTAGATGATGTTGAAGCAGTCAAAGACAAAGTTGAAGTGGAGATTTTTAAACTCAGAGCACATGACTCTGAATCTACTGGTTTGTATCTTAACCATCTTTTTAAAAATCTTTTTAAAAGTAGCTTGTGTGCTGGCTCAATGGTTGTCAAATGATGGGTTATTAATGGATTGACTAGGTATTATTAACAGCGGATGGTAGTACTTACTGTCTTGTTGCCAGGGACAAACATCAAATGTTTGATTTYTTTTCTTTTGTGGCAGATGCTGCTGATGCTGCAGTTAGACAACARCTTAGCAGTTTGTTGTATGTACAGAAGCTCTGTGAAGCTAAGATAMGATTGCTCAAATATGGTGGGGAGTTACCACCAGAGCTTCCAAAGGTATGAATCATGAGAGAATAATATAACATAAAGTTTAGAGAGCATAAGGAGGAGTATTCKCTTCTAACAGCCACAACTTCCGGTTTCATCAAATGTCTTCACAATTTTATGAAAGCGGAAGTTGAAGGTGTTAGAAGAGATTAAAGGAGGAGGTAGCTGCCCCCACTGCACATCATCCATTACTCTACTTCTGGTAATATGCCGTGACTATTGTTTRCTTTTAGGAAAATCCTACTGAACCAGACCAAGTGTTTGTCCCAAGTCAGCCTGTACCTATCCTGCCATTACAAGTCATTCTAGATAACAACACTGCATTGTCATACTTTATTGGTGAGTTCATTCATTTTCAGATTTTTTATAGCAATTATTTTGCTTGAACATCTTTCTAAGTAGAATGTTTTTTTTTGTTTTTTTTTTAGAATTCATGAGCTCTCTCAATGGACAAGTTTATTTATACTTTTGGTTGGCAGTAGAGGTATGTAGTGATTTACAGTATAGGGTAGTTATACTGCCAAAACACTGATTTACCCCCTTTTGTCAACCTTTGGTAAAAAAGGTTAACTTTAACAGTTACTTTTACATAATATTATTAAATGGTATATCTTATCTGAAATAAAAGTTCAGTGAAATAGTAACTTTCAGCCAAAAAGAAGAGCAAATATTCAAATCTAACTTTAAAATCAGTACAAGCCATCAAACCACCAACTAGTCCAGAACTGGACCCTCTTTTCTCAATTACTATAATATTATGAATAAAAGTTAAAGATCCAAAGCTTGTGCGCTCAAGAAAATTGAGAAAAGTGGACCCTCTTTTATCGTGACCGTTGAGAACGTTGATTCAAATCAATAGTTTTCAACGCTCGCGCAAGGATAAAAGAGGGTCCAGTTCTGGACTAACCACCAACCTACGATATGGTATCCACTCTTATAGTTGTCTGAAAGCAGATGAGCTATCAGCATTTGACCTTTTTATTCTTTTCAAGGGTTATAGGGTAACAGCAGAGCAGCAGTTATCAGTAAGAAAGGAAAAACAACTGCTTTCAGAAGAGAGCGATAAAGTTAGACGYCCATCTTTGTCAAGACAGGTTGGTAAATTCAAGACAACTAAGAAAATACATTTATTAGCTAAGTTCAATTTATTTATTAATAGTTATTATCAAAAAGTTATTTGTATTTTCACAAAACTCCTTAAAACTGACTGCCTAATATTTAATCACAGTCAAACTTGTGTACATAGCATTTTGGTGAATAATGATGATATTTCATTTATGTTATTTCAGACATCATCCTCTTCAGGGCTAAGTGATCTTCGTGGAGCAGCCAAGAGTATTTTTGATCAATATCTGTCAGAGCAGGTAAGGAACACCAATAATTAATGGAACATTGAAGAAGTTGATACTAGAGATATTTTCTTTTACCCTTAGGCAGACCCAAGAGTATCTGTTTCAAAAGATCTTCTCAAGAAAACATTAAAACGAGTCTCACAAGAGGAACCATCTGCTGATTGTTTTGATGATGCTCAGAAAATGGTCAGTTAATCAACCTGTTTCTTGTTTATTCTGGTCACATTTGATTAAAATCACTGTTGGCATCTGTAGTCTTCTTCACAGCTCCCTGTTTAATCTTGAGAGAGAACTACTTTGACTTTTGCATTAAACCAAATATATAACTGGTGAACTTGCAATATACAATAGATAGTGAGAGTAAAAGATTTGCAATGGTGTTTGAAATGCAATTATTTGACCTTTTGAAGTCTCAAAAGATGAAATCCTGTTAAAAAATAACATTCTGTATTAAGTAACTGCTAACTATTGTTTTCCAGGTGTATGATGAGCTTGGTCAAGACAAGTTTTACGGCTCATTTCTTAACAGCCAAGCATACATGAGGTAACCTATCTAACCCATGGTRCATAAATCAGCTCAGGACATAAAAAATGTGTTGGGGAAATCAGGATATTGATGAATAGTTCAATTAAATTTCAATACAGGTTTTCGTAATCCTCAAAAATAATGATGCTGAATGCAGCTTCAGGAAGGGTCTACCATTGTATCTTGTAATTTAATCATTGCATGTGAATTTATAAATGAAGTAGTGTAAGGAATAGAACCTTGATAATTATGGTAATCGGTCACCATTTCATTTATCAATCAAATAATGAAATGCCCTTAGATTCTTAAAAGGTTTTTGATCATTTTTGTAACAGGTGTCTTCTTGACCTTGATGTGCTAAAAGAGAATTCAGGTAAACCATTGCACATTACATGTACTGTGGACATTTTGTTGCTTTTAGTAAGACGAAATGCTAAATATATATTTGTTTTTTCAGAGGATGATGACACCATATCAGTTGCAGATGATGGTATGATGAAGTGCTTATTTTGTTTTGCTCTTGTTATCATACATATGTGTTATTTCACCRAAACAACTTTAATCCTGTTTTGTTGTTTAGATTCAGAAACCAGAAGTCTGCCAGGCAGTTTATCAAGCTTTTCAGGCTCACAAGAGGTTGGTATATCTTGGACATWCACATGTACTGTAAATAAAAAAAATGAAACACAGAATTTTCTTGGTTGCTACCATGTTGTTTTTGTCTATTTGCTTTTTTACTGTCTGTCTCTCTTTCCCTTTCTCCCTTTCATTTTTTTTTTGTTTTTCTTTTTTTTCGTTTTTCTTTGTTTGCTTCTTTTTTTTCTCTTAAAATTGCTTTCAAACAGTTCTTGAGCCACCCCTGAAAGCAAGTTGCCATATTTTTTTGTTTCTGACCTTTCTTTCTTCTTATTTTAATTCATTTATATGTTGACATTTTATTCTGAAGGATATCAYAACAGGAAAACTATGGACATCTGATGATGATTTGCGACTTACTGCAAGCATTAATGAAATAGGTAACTTTCAATTAACTGTATATCCCATGATTGATTGGAATTAATGATTATCTTAGCAATACAGTGATTAACTGATTAATTTGGTAACTAACTGAATGATTTTTTCAAATCAATTGTTTGAATAGTTGGTTGAATGATCATTTAATTGATTGATTGTTGAATAATTTTTGATTGATTGATTGATGATTAATTAATTGATTGATTGATTGATCATTTCTAAATGTCAATTAACTTATTAGGTCTATGTAAAGAAGCAGGCAAGTCATTTGCTGTTTATGCCATCTCTGTATTTCGTGCCACACAAGATGGTACAAACACGTGGACTGTSTATCGACGATACAGTGATTTTGATGACCTTCACATGCGTGTTAAGGACAAGGTATGCCATTGGTTGAGATAGTTACTRACTGTGGATAAAGCACCTGAAACAAAAAGCTGACCTTTAAATTTAAGAAATGGCATAATACCAGGATTTTGTGTGATAATCAAAAACTGAAATATTTCATTTCAGGGGGAAAAATGTTATATTTTAATTAAACCCTACTTCTATTATTATTAGTTTTAGCCTTTTTAGCCAATTCGATCCGTACTTGGTTTAAACTGTTGTTGAAATTAAAATTATATTTTGGTTTTYAGTTTGGTTTAATTCCAGTTCTTCTTCTTCCTGGTAAGAGAACATTTCGTAACATGGACAAAGAATTCCTGGAAAAACGAMGAGCGGCTTTAGATTCGTACTTACAGGTCTGTATCATCAGTTGATTTGTTGTCATTCTTATTTCTGTCTTCCATCTGAGAGAGTCCTTATAGATTCACAATTTTAAAACACTGTTTTGTAACATTGCACAGAATGTGCTGTCAACYGASCTTCTTGAGCAACATCCAGGCCTTTTTGAAATCGTCGCAAATTTCCTTGAACATGGAAAATACGCACGTGAAAAAGGACAGTTCGCCAGAAAGGTAAAGACTTTTTATTTTCATGACCAGAATAAAATGGCAATCCAACTTTGTTTTCGTCGTTCCTCTATTTTTTTGTTATTTGGCGGTTGTTCAAAGCCCGATTAGCATTAATAATACAGGCTTAACTCCATGTATGTTCGCTAAGTGTTACCCAGGATTCGCGCTAATTGCGCTTTGAAGAACCCGGTCCAGAAAAGTAAATAAAATAGTAAAAGTAAAGTAAAATATCCTGCATTGTCAGATGTCAAAAACCTCTATTTKAACCAATCATAACGCGAACACACTTGACATGGCATCTGATTGGATGAAATTCTGAATGGTCCTACTTCCAGAGACAAAACGAAAAGAATTTATATTTATGTAATAATATGAGTATTTTTGTTTTTGTTTTTATACTTAGAATTTAAGTGTTGTTGTGCCAGACAAGTAGCTATCATTTAGCTAGATTGCATAGCGGCTTAAGGGAAGAGGGATTTGACGGAGAAGRRGAAAMCCTCTTCTGTTYYCCCCYCTCCCCTAGAGCYGCTACGCASGCTAGATGTCATTAYATTACGTTGGTATTCTATTATT